TTGATATGTGAGCTATAGTATATTCATTTGATATGTGAGCTATAGTATATTCATTTGAAATGTGAGCTATAGTATATTCATTTGATATGTGAGCTATAGTATATTCATTTGATATGTGAGCTATAGTATATTCATTTGAAATGTGAGCTATAGTATATTCATTTGATATGTGAGCTATAGTATATTCATTTGATATGTGAGCTATAGTATATTCATTTGAAATGTGAGCTATAGTATATTTATTTGATATGTGAGCTATAGTATATCTATTTAATATGTGAGCTATAGTATATTTATTTGATATTGAACTATAGTATATTTATTTGATATGTGAGCTATAGTATATTTATTTGATATGTATAGTATATCTATTTCTTTTCTTTGTCTTTGTTCTCCTCTTTCTCCTTTTCTTTCGCCCTCTCTTTTGTACAATGCCTGCAGTACCAATCGCCTTTCGGCACCTCTTTGACTCCAGCGCACGATAGATGGAACCACTCCCACGGACACTGCAGGCCAAAATGCATGTTATTCTTTGAACTCAAAAGTAATCTTAATATTGGGTCGGGATTGAATATGATTAGGATGAAATGTACTATAGCCGCGTCAAAGTGTACAAATTGTACCAGTATCGCGATAGTTGTGATGCTATTCTATTCGTTGTCCGTATTGCTGAGTGCAGCTTGCAGCAACCAAGTAGACTGTACGCGATCATAAATCTCTCAGAGAACACGCACGGCATATATCTAGATGACACAGACGAGCGCCGACATCGAGATAAGCACATCGACGCACTATTTGAGAATTTAGGCAACAATACCCACCGCATGTTCAGATACAACACGGTCTGGTAACCTGCCCTGATGGCCCCAGATATCACATAATACTGTCACACAAGTGTTGTCATATATGCTACAGTGCGCGACGGCAAACACAAACACATAGAAACACGCACACGCAGCAACACGCAGCACATCCACACATCTTGCCATGTCAGTGGTGCAATAACTCGCACAGCGGATGCCATGACCTTCAGGAGTGTAGGCAAAACGACAGTCGACAGCGAAAGACATGCATGGTGTACAAACGATGGATTACAGTCTTGGTATGCTGCACTTACATTCTCTTTACTATCACAGCCAAGCATGGCCTCGTATGTGTTCTTCTTGCATATGCAGAACAACCCAGACCCAGCCTCTTCCTTGTTCGCTTCTACGCGCACTTCCGTCTTTGACTTCTTGATTGGTGCAGCTTCAGGCTTGGGGTTAGTCGGCTGCACGTGGATTATACATGGTCGGATAGTTAGTAGCGTACAGGTTATATGTAACGTACAGGTTATAGATTTGGTGAGTTGTGTTGTGGCTTTGTGCGCTAGTAGGTTAGATAGGGAGCCACTGGCTATGTGTTGAGATTGCAAGCGTACCGTGTATAGGCGAACAAAGTTTACGTCTTAAACCAAATTCGTGGGACTGTGAACTGGGTTTATACAGGTGGGTGTGGGTAGGTACGGCCCCATCGAATTAAGACGTAGATGCGAATGATGCGACGATATAGTCAAATGAGTGGGGAGTAAGCACCACTAGATGTGAGTGGTGATTGGAGCAGATGAACGGCTTACCACCTCTTCAATAACATCACAGCCACATGTATTCTCACATACACTCATATATATGAATGTAGTGTATATGCAACATATCCAGTCCACGTCCAGGACTCAACTTGCACAAATTTCAGACCCAACAATGAGCGTGAGCAATGTACAGAAGCATACATGACATATACACTGTGCATGCACTCAGGGTAACACCTGATGCTAAGTATATAGAGAGCTATAGAGGACCACAACTGGAAGGCTCTCTCACCTTCGGTTTTTGCTTCTTTATCGCCGCGATTTTCCTCGCTTTCGCCTGTCTATTCTTCAATTCTAATTCCTTGGCGGCCAGTCTCTTGCCTGTGCACAGGAGGTATCAAGACAAGGGGTAACCAGTGAGTGAAGATATGGCAGGATGTACCACCCAACCGAGCGATAGGTGCTATCGTTCATGTGGTGGATCGCGTATGCGAAACACTATATATACGGGTTCATAGGGACTTATGCATGTGAGTACACACGCGTGTTTTATGTGCCTGCTGCAATGGTAACAGCCATGCATGCAAGTACACACGTGTGTGTTATGTGCATGCTGCTATGACAATAACCACTGCACGCCGAGTAGCTCGTTGCGTATAGGTAGCATATCATTGCAGAATGCATGCAGCATTGTACATACACAGGACCGGACGATGCACCACAGTCACCTACAAAACACCTCACTCCCGGCAACACACAAAACTCACGTGGAATATACTACCCAGAACATGGCACACTAGTGCGTAGTTTGTGGCCATACGCACGCTACCCACACGCCCAAGCCTCGGAGTGAGTGTGAGACTGTGTGCGTGTGGGGGGGGTGTTATACTCTTTTTGGGTTGGAACTTACGTTGCTTCGCGGCCTTTTGATCTTCCTTGACTTTGTTGTCGTAGGTTTGGTAGTCTGTGTTGAGCAGCTTGACTGCGTCATCCATCTGTGCAGGACCAAAAGGACGTACACAAGGATTACTTCAATGTAGAGGGATATCTGTATAGTTGTCACAGCACTGAAGTGGGGCTATACAGACACATACAGACACAGGTACTAGTAGTGTACACGGACACCTCTGTATTGTTTTAAACTTCAACGCAAAGATACAATGTACTTACATACGTACATACACAAGTATTAGTTATTCATACGGACACCTCTGTATTGATTTAGATACCAAAGCAACGATGCAATGCGCATACACTCAGCAATTCCAACACGCTTGTGAATGGAGTCGTACATCGTTAATGTACAATGATTATATACACAGACGACCGTCGATCTGCTACTGGCGGTAGCAGTGGGCTCGATACAATGTTAAGTGATGTCAAACTACCACACCATCGTACAACAAACTTTTGTAACAACCTATGTTCATCTAATTCATAGCAGAATGACATCAGAACAGAACAGCCCTACAATTCAATGTTGAATATTACCGTATTTAGGGCATCAACGGCCAGACGCTCTTTGGCTATACTATACGATAAGCATGTCTCGAGGATATCACTCAGCTGGTTCAATCTATTTATAGCGTTTGGATCGTTGCTCATTTGCAGCGCTCCATCTTGTATCTCCTCTTCCACTCTTCTGAAGAAATCTGAGTGACGCGGAGCACAGGCACAGAACTGTCAGCCATAACACAGGAACAGAACTGTCAGCCATGGCACAGGTACAGAACTGTCAGCCATAGCACAGGTACAGAACTGCCAGCCATAGCACAGGTACAGAACTGTCAGCCATAACATAGGTACAGAACTGTCAGCCATAGCACAGGTACAGAACTGTCAGCCATAGCACAGGTACAGAACTGTCAGCGGAATATATACCACGTACCACGCGTGAGACTGGCTATCTATATACGCCGATTGGGGGAAGGTGAGAAGACGCAGAGGGTGTTTGAGGAATAAACAAACAAGACCTCAGCAGTTCACTATCAGAGTTCGACTATAGCGTGCGCCAGCCTGCACGTGATCACCCTACGCCCTACGGGCCTACAATGTATGAGCATGGTTAAACTAACACATATATATGAAGAGCTAATTGCGTCGGCAGATATATATGTATATATATATAGATATATATAGATGGATAAAATATCATACATGCACGTGATGACCACCTAGCATTCTATGCTCCATATGAATACTTCTATATCCGATGTTCTGCGATGCGCACATACGTAGCAGTATAATACATGCACGACAATGCATCTTTGAAACAAGTACACAAGTATGTAATGAATGAATGGTACAATAGAAGCACGCGCACTGGCGTATTACACATTCATGTACACGGTAAAGAATACGCACCCAGAAATCGCACATATAAAGCTTCTCGTGATATTGTACAGATTTATAAATATTCATATCAGATAAAACCGATATGAAGTATAAGACACCCCTGTGTAGATGCGACTCATGTTCATCAAACATATCCCCAATCAGATCCTTATATCCAATAACTTCCACAAAACACTAAAACCCTAAATCCAATTTCTCTATTGATTAAGCTCAATGTTGTACAAGGTCGCAGGCACCAGCACCACAACCAGACATGAAAGTCCACAGTTACTTGCTCATAGTCAACTCTTAAACCTTTGCAAGATGTAATACTCACTTTGGCCAACAATCAAAGCATGACATAACTATACACATGCAGCGCTTCCATGCATGTTGTACCGTTACCTCTCGTCCCTCAGTGTTTGAACCTGATATTTGACTACACAACATAACCCGTTTGCACGTACCTTGCGTTCGCGCATCTAGTTCTCGCTGCATCGAAAAACTCCGTTGCAGTGCATAGGGCAGATTCTCCAAACCTGAAGGGGTGGATAGAAACAGCCAGCAACGTGTGGGAAAGTAACAATGGTGATATAGGTGTTTGATTATCTCGCCAAACAGGCAATGTATTGTTTACAGATGCAGAAAGGATAGTAAAGCTCGAGATGATAGACAATGAGCTATGTATAACTTGAATACGCCATCTGTGAGACAATAGTAGACGGTAACGTGGTGCAAGATAGTATCTGTTGTGAAGTACTCGAATATATAGTTATATACTAACAACACCTGAGAAACCACAGAGACCAACATGACAAAAGCGCACCATATGAGAAAATATTGCTCATGTACAGATGCACAAGTTAATATTCAATGGCAAAATGGCAAGTGATTAAGATGGCTTCTTGCAGTAGTGGGTCTAAATGGGAGCAAAAAAAATCTTCTGGGAGTCGCTATTCCCTAGATCTCTCTTATCAATATAAATGGAAGCAAGAACGTAATATAATGTATTCGAATGCATATATATATATATGTATATTTATATATATTACGTATATATATATATATATATATATATAT